CTCGGCCGCGAACCGCTCCAGCGAGAGCTGCAGATCTCGTTCCGATGAAGCCAACAGGACCACACCATCCGCAAAAAGCAGAGATGTGATCCTATCATCCTATCCTCTAAATCAATGCTAATGTAAATGGAGTGGTGCAATAAAGTGTTTAGCCCCACCTTGATGAAAAAGACAGAAGCTCTAGTCAGCTGCACCGGTGGCACATTCTCAGACAGAATCAGAAACCTGCACAATAAAAGGCACTAATACTGAGCAAACTGTTCGTGTACCTCAGGTACGAGACAAAACAAAACAAAAAGGTTCATTTCCTCAATGTTTCGTGAGCAACATTAAAGAACTCCAAGTATTCCCTTCAGGCAAGGAATCAAAAAGGATAAGTGAGCAAAACTCTGGACGTTTGCAGACAACTGGCTTCATCTTTTCTGTGGTGGAGGCTGAATGTGGTCAGCTACAGAAGAGTAGATGAAGCAGTGTATTTAAATGAAAGCTTCTCAAGCAAATGTCTTTTTGACGATAAATTGTCAGTGCAATATTTTAAATCATGCAAGAGTTGATGCTGTTTTAGCACAAACGTGCACATATGATACTTTTATAGACACCCTCTAAATGTTTTTTGTCATATCAAATAAAACTGTGAAACCTGCTTCTCTTCCTTTAAAATACAGAAGAAAAGCCTCTTCCAGGAACCTCCTGAACATAACGGCCTTATTTTGGGTTAAACATGCTGTTTGTTGATGGTAATAAGCTGGTGAAAACATATTGACATTACTGACACTTCACAAGTAAACAACATGTTTGGAGGGTGTGTATGAAATCTGCAACAGCTCAGACGCCTGACAGAACCAGGCTACAGCAGGTGAGCAGCTTCAAACTTCTTTTTAACATTATTAAAAGATTGCAACATGTTAAAACTGTTATTTGTCCTAATTATCATATTATTTTAATAGATGCAAAGAGATAGCTTTAATGTTTACTGAATAAAAGGCTGTTAAAGTTCACATTTTGTCACAGCTGGAGCAAAAATGAGGAAGAAATAACAAAGTTTGTTCCAAAGAAATTGCTGTGTATCACCAGCTGAATGACAGTTAGTGATTTTCTGCCCGTTGAAAAAGTTTGGGGCGGGATCTGCTTTTAAAGTGGGGCTGGTGACTGGGAGTAGCTGTTCAACCTACCTCGGCTCATATATGCTTCCACATGCAGCCAACAGTCCAGTTGTGGGAGGAGAGACAATGTGCCAAGACCCCCAAAGTCCCTGTGACTGTTCGGCCAACGGCAGCCTGTGCGACCCCTGCAAGATGACAGCCAAAGAGATGGAGGCGGCACACTTTCCCAACATCACCACGGTGAGTCGACCAGAGAGCAGGAGCGAACTGGAGCCGAGCATCTCCACTGAGGTGGTGACGGAAAAAGGCCGAAACTGGGGATGGGTGCTGTCCGGGATCATCTGTCTGAACATCCTGATGCTGGGCTGTTCATTGGTCAGTGGCAGCACTACAAACAGCGTCAGCTTCCCAGACCTGCAGTCTTTCCTCATCTTTCTCCTCCTCTTCACCTCCGTCTGGATGGTTTATTACTCRATTTACATAAAAAAGCACCCAAATGCTATCACCTTCAAGGATGGGCATGCTGGACCAATTTGGCTCAGAGGTAAGAAACTTTAAACACAAAACATTTCACACACACTCTTGGACTGTTTCATGACTTTTCCTTTGTTCGGCATACTTACCTGTAATTTCAGCTGGACTTGTGCTGTTTGGAATCCTCAGCATCATCATGGATATTTTCAAAATAGCCAGCTATGTGGGATATGTTCACTGTGATTCTGCTGTTAAAGTTGCATTCCCCGTGGTGCAACTTGTCTTTGTTATTGTACAGGTATGACTACAAACAATTGATGTAGGAAATATATTATCCAGTTATGATGGCTACAGAATATTGAGCTAACCGTTTGTTGAACTTGCAGACATACTTTCTGTGCATCCATTCAAAAGATTGTGTGCAGCTGCAGAGGAACCTTTCACGGTGAGTGATTCCATCTTTAGAGCCACACTTCATGCAGTTGGAYGATGTGCCCTGATGGAGGAACGGTTTGTGGTTTATCTTTGCTTGAAGTTTAATTTTTGTTTTTTCTTGTTTCAGCTGTGGCTTGATGCTCACACTCTCTACAAACCTGGTTATTTGGATGACTGAGGTCACTGAGGAGTCTCTTCACCAAACAACGGTGCCGGAACACCCAACTAACGTCACAAAATTCTCAAGACGGGACCTGTACATCAATAGAGGTGACTGAAACAGACCAAGAAGGAAAAATACATCTAATAGTCATTAGGGTATCCCTAGAATAACACTTTACTGTTTTTATGCCGTTTCCTGTCTCACAGCTGGTTATGGAGATGATTCCTGTAAATGCAGCCACACTTCATGCAGTCTCTTCAAGGCGGCCTACTACTACCTGTACCCCTTCAATATCGAGTACTGCCTCTTTGCTTCAGCCATGGCCTACGTTATGTGGAAGAATGTAGGGCGAGTCTCACCTGAATTCAGCCACCACACCAAATTTAGTCTCAGGAACATCTTGGTTGGTCCAGTTTTGGGGATAGTCATGGTGGTCGCAGGCCTGGCGACATTCACTTTGTATGAGATTGAAATGAATACCAACTACAATGACCAGGAGGGCAAAGACCATGCAGTGATGATGCTCTTTGTCATGAATATAGTCATTGTGACCTCAATGTCGCTCTGCACCATTGTCGGTTGTGCCATCTTCAGGGTGGATCACAGGAAGCACAGCACAGAGAAGAACCCCACCCGCAGTCTGGACGTAGGGCTGCTGGTGGGATCCTCGCTGGGCCAGTTCATCATCAGCTACTTCTCCATCGTTGCAATGGTAGCAACCGGAGCCAACGGCTACCTGAACAGGCTCAACTTGACCTGGAGTTTGGTGATGGTGGTCCAGCTTGGCCTGCAGAACTATTTCATAGTCGAAGGCCTGCACAGAGAGCCCTTTCATGAAGTGGAACCTGTCAGAGTGGTGGTAAATCCATATGCGACAAAAACAAGCAAAGATGGGGGAAACCTTGAAAAAACAGACACGGAGAAAAAAGCCGAACCAGACACTGAAGCACAGAGCCACGGTGGGACGGTGGAGAACCACCACAGACTGTTGTGGAAGCGGCGGGTGCTGAGGGAGGTCTGTGCCTTTCTGCTGCTGGGCAATGTCATTGTGAGTATTTTTCACCGTCACTCCCTTAAACTCAATGTTTCAGACTGACTGAATACTAAACGTTTTGTTTGTGTCTTCCACAGCTGTGGGTCATGCCCGCATTTGGTGCTCGTCCCCAGTTTGACCACGACGCTGAAACCGACTTCTATCAGTTCAACATGTGGGCTACTATTGTGAACGTGGGTCTTCCTTTTGGCATCTTTTATCGAATGCATTCAGTCGCCAGTCTCTTTGAAGTGCTCCTGAACTCCTAAAGCTACACTTTAAAACTACACAGGAAGCTCTTCTTGGACTTTATCAAATTCTTGTGTACAGACTGTGTTTTAAACTTTTGAAGTGGAGACTGTCAAAATATTATCATTTTGTTGTGTATGATCCACATGCAACAAGTGAATGTATTCAAAATGTTCTTGTCAGATTTCAAATTGATAATTTAATGTACAATATAACTACACAAAATAATAACTTGTATAACTCGATTCATGATTTATGTATGCAAATGATTAAAGCAAGTTTAAAATGTGAATGTTTATGAAGCTCATGCTGTCGAACCAATAAACGTATTTTTTTCAAGAGTGTTCACTTCAGCCGTTTGCAGATGCCTACTAATTAGGCACTCCTTAGGAGCTGTGTTGAACCAGAGCAGCACCTAAAACATGAAAGGCATCGGCCCTTGAGGACTGACTTTGAACACCACTGCTGTAGCTGGTTAAACCAAAAAAGCGTAAAAGTTGTTTTATTTTTTTCCCACGTCACTGGAATTGTTCGGCACATCATTCATTGTGTGTAACAGAGCCCTCTGCCGGTGTTAAAGCATTACTACACACAAAGGCCAAAAATGTGGTTCTGGCACGGACCAAGGTAAATGATACAAATAATCAGGTGTCGTGCCATAAAGTGATGGTCTGCTAGAAAGTGATCAGACATCGCAGGAGCGCGCACGTTTTTAACGGGAAGCTTCGTTGTTTTAGTTATGGGAATTTACCAACAATAACATTTACAGTACTTGTATGCTCAGGATTCTAACAAAAGTGCGTCTCAGTGTACCTTTTATTTATTTAGTTGTTTATTAAAACAACAACCACCATCACAATTTTTTGTCAGTCTTGAAGTGGACTAAGATCTGTAGCGGCTAGATAACCTCCTTGAAAAATTCGACCATGATCAAGGTGTAGTGATTCGTATGTGCTAGCAGTGATTTATTTTGAAACGTGACGTGATGYGATACCTGTCACTCAATAGGCTACTCCAATAAATAAATAAGTGAATACATAGCTGGGGTTTTTGTTTTTGCATTGAGAGTGTTGATACATTTTGTGTAATACAGTTTTGCTTTCCCAAGTTTTAATCCCTAAAGTTCTGAACACATCAGCAATTGTGATTAAAGTGATAGGATTCCTAAGATTTAGCCCTGAAAACATTTTTCCTCCCAATGTAACTTTAATATTTTATATGATAGCAAAGACAGACATTTGAAAAGCACAAGTTATCATGATCATGACTGCCTACAATAGACTGCAGCTCATATTTGTACACTGGAACTGTTTTTTTTTTAAYCTAGAATGTCTGTCTCATTCAAAGGGATAATACAGTTTCAAGTTCAGTGAGTCATTTAAACTGTAAAYACTTCCTTAAAACAACATTACCTGCCAAAAATTGATTATGGCTCATATTTTAACAGTAAAACATGATTTTAGGCTTAGGATGTGTTTGTTTCATTCAAAAGGATATCAGTTTCAAGTTCACTGAGTCATTTATATTTTCAATACTTACCTTTAAAACAAGATTATAGCTGCCAAAAACTGATTACAGACCGTTTAACAGTGAAACATGATTTTTTGACTAGAATCCTATTTTATCATTCACAAAAATTATAAATGAAATGTAATACAAAATATATCTGATTTTATTCTGTTATTAGGACTCCCACATAATAAGTGCAAATTTGTACAAGCTTTTCATTTAACCTGTATGTTCTACTGGAGAAATGAGAATCAATCTGAATGAGTTATTCGTTGGCTTTCTTCTTCTTCTTAAAAGGCCTTACGTTTGACCTTTAAACTTTAATCTTTAAAACCTTTAAGACCTTTGACTCCGGCAAATGTATGGTCACCCGGGGTGGCATTTATAAAGCTTGCACACACACAAAACGAGCCCAGAAACTTGCGCACGCAAATGTTGGGATTTATGAAACCCAAACTTGATGTGAAAATGTGCGGYCCCTCAGCCAGCTCTGACCCATGCGTAAGCTCATTTTGAAAACATGAAGCTGCGACACAGAWGGTGAAGTGAGGAATTTTRGACACATTGCATCWTGATCACTCTCAAATATTTAATTTCAMYTCATAATCAGACTTAGATTTTAGATCAACTTTATCAGAAGCTTTCTTAACAGTAATTATTTATGCKTCTGCTGCTGAGCCATAWGGACCACTGAAATAAAAAACTTAAATCTTAAATAAAAGTTCACGCATCTCCATCCATCTCCTTCCTCCTCAGATGACCCTGACCCACAGACCCCTCCCCACAAGCATGAGAGCAAACGGCTCAGTTATAGTCACGCTTTGGGTACTCGCGCAGGACGCACAACAATCAGCCACAGATAACAGCGCTGAGGGGGAGGATGGGGGAGAAGAGTAGTGAACTTATTTCTAACTATCTGACATTTAATTTCATTTATTGTTTTTATCATCCTGCAGGCTCTGAGAGAAAATTATTTTGAAGCTGAATTTTTGAAAAAAAAAAGTTGTGAAATTGCTCTAAACGTCAATTACAGACAGTCTGTTCATGTGAGCTGCTGTCAGCACCTGTCATCCTCCAGACGCACAATGTAGTGCGTACCTGAGCCGGCCAATTGCTTTTTTTTTACACTGATCAGCTGACTCATTTAAGTACACCTTAACCTTCATGAGGTACTTTGCATTGACTGTTGAGTGTGGGCGTGTAGAGGGCAGAACCTGAGGTGGGACCTTGTGATTCTGAGAAAAATCCACCAGCCACCGGGGGGCTACAACTCCAAAATAGAAAGATCTCAAAAAGCAATTTAACTTGTACTAAGTTGTGTCACTCCGGTGTATTTATTAAACAAATGAAAATAATAAAACAGCATTACAATGTCATGCAGTGTTGTACATCAATTTCCCTTCTGTAACTGAGAAGCAAATTTCTTCATGACTCTGGTTAAAGTCAGGGATGTTTTAACCAGATTATTCTCTATATAGCATGGTCAGTGCAGTGAGGTGTGATGTTGTACCTGAGGAAAATCGAAATTCTCTTCAGTGTTGAGAAGCTCCTCTCAGATTCAGCTGTGGTCAGAGGAGATGTGATGAAAATCTTCAGCAGAGTCACAGTCTCTGAAGGTGTCCTGCAGATTGTTCTCCATGAAGAGC